TGCTGAAAGACTTTATAAGGGGTATGTGCCTGGGGAGGAAGCAGTTTGTGCACTTCACACTTCCTAGATGCTTTTTACACTAATGCTGCCTTAACACTTCTTTGTAGCACCTCATAGTTTACCCCTCAGTTACATTGCTTTATACATCACTCAAGTCTTTGGATGGTCTTGAACAAATACAAGTGTAGGGCAGGTTGTGGTAGCTTGTTTTCTTTTCCATTTCCCCCTCTTCCTTTCTGTTCCTGCCCTATACTAAAGAAAAGGGTCTCAACTGTCAGCCTGGGTAAAAGCCTGAGAAATTAGCACACAGGGGATATGTTTCTACACCAGCAGCGTCTGGTGTAGAAACGTGTCTGTGTCTCCAGCTGAGTGGTTCAAAAAGCAGGAAACTTTCCACCAGCTCCAAGACACAACAGAATTTAGCACTGGGAGTTCCAGTATCAGCATATGATGCTTGGGAGGAAATGAAGTGTAGGAGAAGAATGTCTGTTGATTTTTTTTGTGCTGTATTTCTCTGACAGTCTGACATTTCCCCCCTCTGCAGAACAACCTGTCCATCAGAGGAGTTGCTGGAGACTGTTCTGGAGCACATCTGATCACTGCTGCCACAAGGCCCCAACCAGCCAGCCACAATGTACTGCCTTCAGTGGTTGCTGCCCGTCCTGCTCATACCCAAGCCCCTCAACCCAGCATTGTGGTTTAGTCACTCAATGTTCATGGGCTTCTACCTGCTCAGTTTTCTCCTGGAACGGAAACCGTGCACAATTTGTGCCTTGGTCTTCCTGGCAGCTCTATTCCTCATCTGCTACAGCTGCTGGGGGAACTGCTTCTTGTATCACTGCACAGGATCCCAGTTGCCGGAATCAGCTCACGATCCCAGCATTGTGGGCACTTAGAAAACGATCGTCTTCCAGTCTGCTGAGGGCTCTTGTTTTGCTTTTCAAAAGGGGTTAGGGCTAGGGAGGAGGGAGGGGGTGTTAGGCATGTGACTGGAGTAAAGACAGCCTGTTTCCTGTAACTGTGTATGGACTGGAGTGGTAAATTCCTCCCACTCTGCCTGTGAAATTCAACTTGTTTACTGTGTGAACTCTGGCAGCACCACCTGCTTTTTTAGAAGCAGATATCTTTTTTTCCTTTCCTTCCCATATCACTGGGAAGGGACACCAGCCCCTCCTGACTGAGCACTGGTGCAGGACCGAGCTGCTGGCCTCTGCCCAGCTGTGTGCAGTGGTGCAGTTGTGTGTCACTCACTTGTCTGCGTTAGGCCATGGTGGTCTAACTCAGGGCTCTCGACCCCCTGATTCTGCTCAAGTAGCTACAAGATTCTCTCCATCTTTGTGGGGAGCCAGTCTTCCCATCTTGCTGCTGCAGGGCAAGCTCAACAGCTCACAGATGCACTTGGCCAAAAGCTGCTGGAGCCAGAGGCAGTTGAGTCACCTCCTCCTGCTCAGCCTGCCAAAGAGATGCATGCACTGCCGAGGTGCTTTCTGAACTACTTACGCTCCAAGATCATAGCCTGAAAGCCTCAGTTATGCTGCTGCTTTTATAAAGCCTCACAG